GATGTTTTGTTTTATAATTAAGTAAAGCAAATAACTTTGAAAACATGAGTTTTAAACAGGTGAAATAGTCACTTCTTGGATTTCCGTCTTAGATAGTTCAGTAGTTGTAATCCAGAGAAGCTAGTCCAGAAATGGGATTGTGGGAAGGTCTACAGTAGGGGTGGGAAACCTATGATCCTCCAGATGTTGATGGACTCCAACTCCCATCAGCCCCAGCTAGCATGGGGATGGTGGGAATTGTATTCCAGCAACATTTTGCTAAGTAACAAAGGTTTCCCACATTTATTCTATAGACTATTCCCTACTAATACCAATATTCCCATCAAGTGGTTGGTGATTTTACAAACCTTCTGATAAGTGATCTACATCAGAGGTGTTGTTGTTGTTGTTGTTTAGTCGTTTAGTCGTGTCCGACTCTTCGTGACCCCATGGACCAGAGCACGCCAGGCACTTCTGTCTTCCACTGTCTCCCGCAGTTTGGTCAGACTCATGTTTGTAGCTTCGAGAACACTGTCCAACCATCTCGTCCTCTGTCGTCCCCTTCTCCTTGTGCCCTCCATCTTTCCCAACATCAGGGTCTTTTCCAGGGAGTCTTCTCTTCTCATGAGGTGGCCAAAGTATTGGAGCCTCAGCTTCAGGATCTGTCCTTCCAGTGAGCACTCAGGGCTAATTTCTTTAAGAATGGATGCGTTTGATCTTCTTGCAGTCCATGGGACTCTCAAGAGTCTCCTCCAGCACCATAATTCAAAAGCATCAATTCTTCGGCGATCAGCCTTCTTTATGGTCCAGCTCTCACTTCAGATCAGAGGTAGCCAACCATATATTTTGGACTACAACTCCCATCAGCCCCAGCCAGCATGGCATACAGTAGAGAATGATGGGAATTGTAGTTTTTTTTAATTAAAAAACACGCCCTGAAAGACTACTCCTGATCTACATTGTTCCACAATCTCATATAATCTAGTACACATTTTGTGCAAACACTCTTATTCCTGTACTTGCTGGATTATAATCAACAAGAATGACTCATCTACTATTCATGCTAGCAATAGGAAATACATCAGGTTTCTAAATAACAGGTAGAATAACTCTAGTGGCCATGGGCAATGGTAACAGTTGCTCTGAATGAGCTTTGCTGTCTCTTCCCTGTGCCCTCATCCTCTCTATTAAATATAGTTTTATAGATTATTGTATTCGACTATGATCACTTATATAAATGTGTTTTGACAGCCACCTCCTTCTTAAACACAGAGAACCAACATAATATTCTGAGAGCATTTGAAAGGGTTAGGAGGTGCCTCATTTTGTTTGGATTCTTACAAACCAAATCTGTATGCCACACTGCGTGAGTGAGATGTTAACAATATCTCCCCCCACTTCTTATGTTTGTGATAAGTAAGGAAAGTGCCCTGTTGTTTAGCTGAATAAGGCAAGGTTGTTATTAGCATGCCGAAGGTAATCTCAGTACCTCTGGGAGGCTTTAATCAAAGTCTTGTGTCCTGATTGAGATGCAATGTTCAAAAGTGGGGGAACTTATTAACGAAATAAAAATCTAGGAGTGTTTTCCGTGCAAACATTCATCAGCATATCTTATGTAATTACATAACCGATAAATCAACATAGTGTGTAAGTGCTTTAGTCATGGTGTAAATATCTTAATGACTGAAACATCTTTTGCTCGTGAATAATTCATATCTGTATGGTTCATTTTTCATACTCATGCTTTTTTACTTGCATATGATAAACTAATCTGTCTCTGTCGGGGGAGATGCACTTGATTATCGTCTTCTGATCTCTCTTTCTCATATTTAGTTTTGCTTCCTTGACCCGCACTCCATTACTTGACTTCTGCTTTCTCTAATTTGGTGGCAGCGCTTGCTCACCTGGTCTGCTTGATTTGGGTTCCTGGTGCACCATTATAATTGGACTTATCTGTATACAGCGGCACCTCAGGTTAAGTACTTAATTCGTTCCAGAGGTCCGTACTTAACCTGAAACTGTTCTTAACCTGAAGCACCACTTTAGCTAATGGGGCCTCCTGCTGCTGCTGCTGCTGCTGCGCCGCTGGAGCACGAATTCTGTTCTCATCCTGAAGCAAAGTTCTTAACCTGAAGCACTATTTCTGGGTTAGCGGAGTCTGTAACCTGAAGCGTATGTAACCTGAAGTGTATGTAACCCGAGGTACCACTGTAGTCAGTCCTAACTCAAAGATTGTCTAAATGTAACAAATGGAGGGAGACCTTCAGAAGTGGTAACCTTGCTGCGTGGCAGGATATCCGTGTTCCTATTTGTTTTCCCATTCCTGCAATTAGGCCTGCACAGAGCTTGTCAGACGCCTGAGGCAGGAACCTTGTTAGAATAAAGTTAGAAACTCAAACAAAAAAGTAGCCGGTCCCTGGTAGGGGGCCCCTACCTGCTTAGCTCTCCAATGCCCAGGACAAGTGTACTCTGCTGCCCCTTGCCTCTGCACGGACCAGCCTACAATGAAAACTCAGCAGAATGGGCCTTGACTGCACCCAAAGCGTGTTCTCCTTCATAGAGAGCATGTGTTGCGGTGGGGTCTGAACAGGCCACCCCTCTGTTGCTGGGCAGGTTAGTATGGATGACCATCTACAGTGATTGGGCGATTGGGTTACTGGGCAAATTTTGGTGTTGCCATTTAGGGGGACGGATCAAAGGTTATAAAATCAAGTCACGCAGCACTGACTGGGCTCTTTTGCTGCGTGCATCGGATCACCCACCCACCCTCCCTAATCTAGGGCTATTGCGTTGACCTTGCTGTGCCTGTCATGGGGTCGTCTGCTTTTGGGGCAGGGGTCTGGTAGGAATTTTGTCCATTTGGCTGTTTGGCTGGTGCCATTTGGTTTTTGCCTAGTGCGTAGCAAATTGCCACAACTTGTTAGGTTGTGGTTAGGCATTGGTTAAAAAATTGGTTGGTGGAGGGGTAAGTGCCTGCCCCTCCAATGCTGCTGCTGCAAGGGAATTCCATTAAAGGAATCCAGGGGCTTTCCATTCTTTTGTCCATACCCCTGAATGGGGCTTAGGGCCACGCAAGCCCCTGGGAGCATGCGGGGGGGAGGAGGATCTGGTGCCCGGCTCCATGCTCTCCCCAATATTGTTTTCCCTCACTGGCTTTCGCTGGAATCCAGAAGTCAGTTCTGTCCCTGGGCATGGGGACAGATAGTCATAACTAATGCCTAAGCAACCATTCATATTTATGTATTTTAATAAAGTTGTGGCCAAAATTATGCCGATAACCTTAAACAAAAATTATGTGTGAATTGTGAATTATTTAGGGGTGGCTTGGGGGACCTCGACACGCAATACAGGACTTCCAGGATTCAGTTTGCTCCTTCCTTAGTTGAGTGCAGCCAGATCGCCATTTGCTCCCATTCATTTCTCTCTCCTCGGGTCTTTTAAATATACTTACCTCGTATTGTGCCTTCTTACATTGCTGTTTTATCCTCGTGGGCTCGCTCTGCCTCTATTCTGCTAGTCCCCAAGCCCCTTTTCCAGCATTTTCCCCTCAGTTTCTGGAGTTATTAAAAATTCCAAGTGTGGCCTCTCACCCTCCTCCTCTCTCCACTTGAAATCTGAAGACTCGCTTTGTTCAGCTTTCTTGCAAGTCTCCTCTCTGCAAACTCTTGGTGCTAGATTTAGGTTCATGGGTCCAAACAAAGACATGGCGTGGGTAGGAATGTCATTTGTTGTTAGTAATGAAATGAAATAATAATAATAATAATTTATTATTTATACCCCGCCCATCTGGCTGAGTTTCCCCAGCCACTCTTGGGGAACACGTTTGGGTAGCACCCATGACTCTCAAAATCAAATTCCAAGCAAGGTTTAGGTCCCAAATAGATGTTACATGAAATATATGGTTACCTTAAATTACAGAATTATGTGATAAAGAGCAGCTGTGGGGAAAGGCAGGCAAGGATAACATTGGGGAGGGGCAGAGATACAGCTGCACACCTGCAGGGACAAATAGCAGCCAGTGGGCACAATTTTGACAGGAAACTGTCTCTGGCTAATTTAAGTAAGTGCTTTAAAGAGGGCGGGGAAGTGTAAATAGCATAATATGTAGGGTTCCCTTAAGTTGAATTGCTTGTAACAGCTGCCTATCTAGGGATGCCAGACAGATGGCATTGTGACTGTCAGTTGTGCTAATTCAGCATCCTGCGCTTCTCAGATCCTGTGCAATTCTGTATGCTTATTGCTGCTAGCCCAAACAGCACACCGGGGTGTAACATGATCAGAAGAAGCAGCACAGACCAAAACAGGCGATACGGCACAGATTGTGCTGATTGCTACCTCCTCAGGTTGAATGCTTCAAGACTAATTGCTCAGTAAGATGTAGTGAGACTGGTATCTGAGTGCAGCATTACACAAGAAGACTGAGACTACTATAAATGCAAACCTCAGTGGAGCAAATATCATTCATGCTTCCCTGCCCTCCTTCCTGTGCTGAAGTCAACATTTTTTAAGACATCAAGTTCCAAACTCAAATTCAGCCTGACACAGAGTACCAAAATATTTTCCTGGGAACTTCTGGTGGGGGGAAACGCACATAAACATTTTGTTTTGGAAACCCCATTTTGATAAATTGGTTAATCAAGAACTTTAAGATGAAAGAAAGATGCCATCTTAAGGATAACTGTGGCGTTTGCCCTCCTAGGTGTGTGACATCGTACTGGGTTCATAAGGAAAGAGTTAACTAATTGTAAAATGACTAACCAATGGGAACCCAAGGGGCGGAGTTAATTGTGTGTAAGGTTAAAGTACAGGGGGGTTGGGGGGGGAGTGTGTTAGAGATAGGGTGGTTGAGAAGACAGTCTGGAGTTAGAAGAGACAGGGAAGATAAGTCTGTGGGTTGGGCTAGTCTGGTGTGAGAGAGTGAGAGAATTTGTTAAGAGGAGTCAGTCAAACAGTAGAGATAATCAGTCAGAAGGTATTAGGAAGGTATAGGCCGGTAAAGAAACTAAAGTTAAGATACTGACAGGAATATTATCTGAGAAACCATAAACTTGTTAATGTTTGTAAAATAAACTTTCTTTTTGGTTTACTTTTAGCAACTGGCTGGACTCGGTGTTTAACCCGAGGATAATGGGTTGGTGGCAGCAGGGAAGCGAGCACAGTGGTGGCACAGGGATCAATAGACCGTTAAACGTCCGGGGACCCTGTGTGATCTCCCACAATAACCTTTGCTTTTTACAGATTCGGTAGCAACAGCTTCTGGGCCGCTGCTTGTCGAAGTGGCCAAAACTGCTGGTTCCGCTCTGGGAGTTGCACTATCTACCTCGATGTGCTGTAGCAAACAAGTGATCATCATAGACAAAATAAAATCTGCAAGTATTGCAGACAGGTGAGTGCTGCAGAAGAGTTCACCATGGTATGTTACCCACCTGGTTTCCATCTGACAATATAATCAAGCAGCAGAGTCTAGCACTCTGAGATGAAGCAATTAGGGCAGTTAAGAGTTCCCTGCATAGCTTGTGGATTACAGCAAAAATTATAGGCAGGACAAAGAAACCCAGTAGCTTGGATCCAAAGGTGCCCTGTGTAAACAGAAAAACACTTCCACTCATGCATCCAGTTTATGCCCATTTCCTCCTTGCCTTTAGGGGCTGGAGTGAGGAGGCAGGGGCAGGAACATTTCATTGCATGAGTAGGGTTCTGCTTGCATCCCAGGAAGGCCATGCCGGGCCTGGTAGCCTCCAGGAGACACTACAAAAAAAGGAATCATCGTCATCTGGACATTTTGCAATATTTTAAAAATCCACCCGGATGGTGATTTTACCTCTTAAAAAGAGAACATATCCAGGAAAATCCGGATGTATGGCAGCCCTATGTAACTCTCAAATAACTCATTAAATTATGAACTTTTTGGCACTTGTGTAAAGGAGGTAGCCTCCATCAGCTAAGCAGCTCCCACTTATTCTGCTGCTTGTTCTAAGTCCCGTGAGTGATGACTTGGCTATCTCCCTGCATTGGTTTTTGGCAGAACATTACAACTATAACCTAATCTTCCAATCATTTTAAAGATTTGCACTAAAGGTTTGACGAGTCTTTTACAGATAATTTTCTCTAATTTTTTAAAAAAGAAGAAGCTGTTTATCCATTTGAAAAGAAGTGAATTCTTGTATTCCAAGGAATGAGCACAGTGTGCTACATTGAAGTCCTTCATTTTCTTCCACAGATGTGGCGCATTACATGTAGGAGATCATATTCTCTCCATTGATGGCACCAGCATGGAATATTGTACATTGGCAGAAGCGACACAGTTCTTGGCTAATACTTCTGACAATGTCAAGCTAGAGATCCTTCCTCATCATCAGACAAGGCTGGCTCTTAAGGGACCAGAACACGGTAGGAAGACTTGAAGTTCTACATTTAATGTCATCCTTTTCTCCTTGCTTCTTCCTGTGGAAGAACTCTTGAAAGTTGATGTTACGGAAATTTTAAGTGGGTTTGTTGTTGTTGTTTCTTTGGTCTTCTGCTCTTAAAACCTCAATTTCAAGTGTGCTTTTTAAGTTCTTTAGCCAAATTCTGATCAAGTTTACTCAGAACTACTCTTTGAATTTAACGCTTAAGATAGACTTGGTGAAATCTAAGTCAGATTTATTTGAAAGCAAATGCGTTTTAAGAGTCAGTTGGGAACCTGCCCTTAACTTCTGTGAGACAAGAGAAAAAAGAACCATAGCTCAGTGGTAAGAACATCTGCCTTCCGTGCGAAAGGGCCTAGGTTTAATCCCTGGTATTTCTAGTTGGGCTGGAAAAGGCTCCCCAACTGAAACTCTTGGCAGCTATCAGATAGTGTGGATAATCCTAGGCCAGATGGACCAAATGGTGACTCAGTATAAGACAGCTTGCTATATTCCTATGCTCCTACAATTCTAAAATCTGTGTGTGTGTGGTTTTTGCTTTACCTTGAACTTCATAGCTGCCTACAAAGAAAAGGGATGCGCTTTGCAACATACAGAACCCATTGTTTACCTTCATCTATAAAAAGAATTGATTAATAAACAGTACAGTCGTACCTTGGTTTTCGAACAGCTTAGCTCTCGAACATTTTGGCTCCCAAATGCCGCAAACCCGGAAGTGACTGTTCCAGTTTGCAAACTATTTTTGGAAGCTGAACATCCAACAGGGCTTCTGCGGCTTCTGATTAGCTGCAGGAGCTTCATTCAGCCAATCAGAAGCCATGCTATGGTTTTCGAACGTTTTGGAAGTTGAATGGACTTCTGGAACGGATTCCATTTGACTTCCAAGGTATGACTATATTCTGAGTGCAGAATGACACCTGTTTTTTAAATTCAGCATCATGCTTTAAGAAGTCTTATTTTCATACAATATACACCTATTCAAGTTTGGATTATTATGCACTTGGTTTACTGGAAGAGGCCAGAATTAAATTTGCTCAAGGAAAATTATATGTTTTTCTAAATCAGTAGCAGACAGAGTGATGGGTTATCCATGCTGGACTATTAAGAATTAATGGCATATTTTATTGCCAAGGGCAGTGATAATATATGTGTTAATACCTTAATAAAGAGAGAGCTTGAGGGCAGAGCATAATACGGCTAACTAACCACTCTCAATAGGCACAGGCGTGCTCCACAAAGAGATAGTTCAATGGGAGAGAAAAAAATGTTACATGTGATGGCATTCTTTGGTTCACATATCTTCATACTCCATTAAGGCTGCTGGCCAAGGCAGCCATGCTTTCATTGCACAGGGAAAAGCATGCCTCACCCCATTTGGAACATTTGGCTGCCCCAGCACTTCAACAGTGTCATGTTGCACTGCAAGATATATAAGGGCTCCCTTGCCATTCATTCTATGTGTACTCTGTAGAAACATCATGTTTCCTCCACTCCCCTGTTGCAGAATTGCCAGTGTAACGTCTCAGCTTGATAGTTTTAAAGTCTAATGCAGTGTTTCCCAACCTTTGGTCTCCAGCTGTTTTTGGACTACAACTCCCATCATCCCTAGCTAGCAAGACCAGTGGTCAGGCATGATGGGAATTGTAGTCTGAAACAGCTGGAGACCAAAGGTTGGGAAACACTGGTCTAATACATCTCCAGGAAGATTTGCTGAGCCTCTATATCAGGAATTGAGGAAACTGGCCCTTCAGATGTTGTCAGATTCAACTCCCTTCAGCTCCAGCCAGTGTTGGGCGTTGTAGTCTGATAGCATCCAGGGGACCATAAAGTTCTCCACCCCTTCTATGTACTAAGAGCATGGACCAAAACGGCACAATCCACACCAAGAAGAAGGTATGAGCAGATTTGGGGGGAACCCCAAGATTTACAAAGCTGCAAAAAAAATATTGAGGAGGAAATCCCCAAAACAGGATATTGAGGGCTGATTGTGCATAGTGAGCACAGAATGCTGATTGACTTTTGGGGATGTGTGCACCAGCAGGCAAAAATAGAAGTAGTGGTGGAAATATAATAGCATCCTGAAACAGAGTATGTAAATTCTGAACTGGAGCACTCCATTCTTTAACCTTGTATGGCAAACCCCACGTGTACTTCGAATAATGTGAATCTCCTTAGTAAAAGCCCTCCGTATAAAATAGCAGGAAGAATTAAGCAGGTGGATCCCTGCTTTTAAAATCACTGAAGGGAAGGGAACCTTTAGCTCTAACATAATATTTCACGTTTGCGGCAGAAGACATTTTAATTACCGGTAGTTGACTAATTTTTAGTTTATAACTCTAGATTTTCCTCATTTTTATCCCTTTTCTTACCTATTTCTTTTCATAATAGAATTCTCATTAGCTTTATATAGGGTTATATGTATTATATATATTTTGTTACTGCCCAAATACTAAAGCTTTATCCCAAGTGCAGTACCCCAAGAATGAAATTTGCAAAACAAAAGGTCTGAAAAGATTATTCCCTTAACCCTCAGTCATAAATTCACTGATGAAGTTTTTTATTTTGCTTAGAGTTGAATATGCTATGCTGCAAGTTTCAGTTGATATAGTTTGAAATGTTATAAGAAGACCAGTTATCATTTTCTGACTGTAGTAAATTGACAGGTTCTCCCCCCCCCCTTTAATATTTGTTTAAGGTGTAGCTGACACAAAACTAACTAGGATCAGGAATCATGCGCCTTTATTGCAGTGGGCAAAAACTGTCTGAAAACCACGCATCAGAACAATAAATGATGACTTTAGATTTCTGCTTTGTTTTTATTAAATAAAGTCCCCTAAATGGAATTTTTGTGCTGATGCTTAGGAGTTCGTTGTCCAGGATAATATAGTGCCACTGATGAATGCCGGTAAAATTAAAATGTCAAAGCAGTAAATTGAAATGACTGACATGTGAAACACTCCGAATTATAGTGCATGGTCTCTTGATATATGGTCCCTTGTTTTATTTTTAATTTTTATATATATACAAGTTCTTTTAAATGGGTGGATATTTTCAGAACTTAATTACTAATTGTAGATCATGCATCCTGGTAATGTTGACTCAAATGGGTTCTCTTAAGTGTTTAATCATAGCAGCTAAGGGCAGAGGCAGATTAAAAACTGATTGAATACTGATCACTTAAAAAAAAAAAAGAGGCACGAAACCCATTAGTTCTGAGTCTATGAGTGGTCACCATCCCTGAGATAAATTCTAGCGTTATCTCACTACCGGGTGGGGAGGGGGAGGCAACAGTGTTCTTTTTCTTTTCAGGTTGCTTTTATTTCTATTCCTTTTTAAATTTATGTAATCCAGTTACCTTTCCCTCTTCTCTGGTCCTTTTTGTTTGTTTGTTTTTTATTTCTTCTCATCCCTTCATGGTGGGCAGCGAAGGTTCAAAGGAGCAACAGGCAACTCACATGGAATCCCTATGCCAACAGCCACAGCAGCACTCTCACCTATCACCATTATAATACCTTCCACCCTGACCATTGCAGGATGCCAGCTTTGAAATGCCAGAAAACATCACCTCCAAAAAGCCTTCGTAATGTTCCATGCTTTTTTTCCTCCTGACATTATTATTATTATTATTATTATTATTATTATTATTATTATTATCATCATCATCATTTGCTCTACCTCACCCTCTTCCTCTCATACTCCCCACCCCCATTTTCATTCTTTGAAATCTTTCGTTAATTGGCAACATCTCATGATTTCTCACAAACATGTGAGGTTATTTCTGACATCATTTTTTCCCTCCCCTGCCTTAACTTAACCGGTCTTTAGAAAGAAGGGGGAAATACGTGATAACCCAAAAGGTTTACAAAACTCAGTTCGGTACCTTATAAGAGAATGCAACCTTTTCCAATTCAAAGCCAATGTCAGAAATCACCTTTTCCAAAGAATGCATTGCTAGACTCACCGCGTTAAATGTGCGTTAATTCACATAGCTGTGTCTGTAACCCTGTTGTGGTGCTTTTATCTAAGCATTTGATCAACTTACAATGAATTCAACTGACTTTGAACTACAAAATGGTTGACGTTAGTGGCATTCATTAAGAGCTGCTTGTATACTTGGATGGAAGTATCATAATAGGACTGCACATGGTGTGTTTGTTATAACAAACAGGTGTTTTGTATGGTTCACCTGACCCTGAATGTGCTACACAGCCTCTTTTTTAATATAGTTTGTGATTTTGTTATTGTATGCACACAAACCGTTCTCGTGAGCCATACCAGGGTCTAGATTTCTAGCAGCCAATAGCGGGCATGCAATTCCCCAGCTCCCTATTGCAGAGCACCTGGTGACAAGTGATTCCCTCTCTTTCAACAGCACTCGTATCTTCGTCCTTCTCTCCGGCCTCCATGAGCGCATACAGTCTGAGTTCCCTGAACATGGGGACTTTACCTCGCAGTCTCTACTCTACCAGTCCACGTGGCACCATGATGAGAAGAAGGATGAAAAAGAAGGACTTCAAAAGCTCATGTAGGTGACCATAAAGGGTTTTTTTAATGTATAATGAAGCCAGGGCTGTTAAATGCATCTGACAAATGACATGAAAGCACATTGAAATTCAGATCTGTTAGGAGCCACTGTGAGAGAGGATGCTTTACAGCAGGACAAAAGTTAGTGTTTGACCACATGCTGTACTTACATCGCCATATCCCAAATCAAAGAGGTTTGGTTTCTTCTGCCCTCTATGATCTAATTGTGTGTTCTGCATCTACAAGTCATAATCTGGGTATTGTTTTAGTGTGGCAACAGGTTTAAAACCCAGTGTTTACCAGAATGCAAAATCTAGGATTTAAAAATGAAGTCCTATCACACAGTATTCTTTGAAGTAGACCAACTTTTAACAAAACAAATTTCCTTCTTCTTGAGCTATAAGATGTGGCAGGTGACTGTCAGGACTATAGATAGAATGATCTCTGTTGAGTTGGTAGTAAAGGCACCTTGATGTCTGAGCACAGTGTCAGCATAATGTTTTCACTTGCTGTAGGTGGTAGGATATTCCACTGAATTTTGCCCTTAACAGAATCCTGACCCAACTTAATTTGTAAGTTATTCATATTACTTTTCAAGCTATGGTCCAAGCTAACTGACTATGCCTAGTTATTTTGTTAGTGCGTTGAACTTTTGTTGCTGTTAGGGTGAACCAGTCAACAGGCTACAAGGAATATTTTCTGAAACTCCTTGATTCAAATCCATGCTGTAAAGGGGTTACTTTGCTCAAATTAACAATAACAGCCCTTTTCACATATTTCTTACGCACATTAATGCACCAGTCATTGCAAAACACTTTTTTTGTATTATTGCTAATATTAAATAGGCATGGTTAGA